ATATCATCTGTTCCCACTGCTTTCCATGAAACTAGGATTTGACTGAGTGTTCACCTGTGCACTGTATAGTGGAATAATATGAAAATGAGTTTCATATGCTCTGCTTGATGAAATGTCTTGCCCTGTGGATTCAGATTAAAATCTGCTTTGACTGTCATACATAGGAAACTGCCTAATAACAAGTGGGGCCAATGGCACAATTAGCTCTGCATTTTCTATGTTGACTGGCAACATATTATATTAAAATGATGAGACTTAATATGGGATCTTTTGCATGCAGTGTGTGTACTTTGCCATGCAGCACTCTGATGTCTTGAAAAAATGTCCATGATTTGCTTACTATGGGGGGTTGCAGACTGCCAGAAATAGTGCAAATTGAGTCCACTTTTAGGGTTAGGGTTAGGGTTAGTGCTAGGGAATCATGGGAACTGTATTTTATTGAGGCACCAGAGCTCTCTGACAGAGAAGGCTCAATGTCTCAGAAGAAAAACAATTCCCATGATTCCCTAGCACTAACCCTAACCCTAAAAGTGGACTCAATTTGCACTATTTCTGGCAGTCTGCAACCCCCCTATCATGAGTTTTGAGGCTTAATGGTTATACTCCAGTTTTTCTGCAAAAGTATGTCTCTTCTACCATGTCTCATTCCAGAGGCCATAGCTCTAAAACCTTATCTGTATTCTGATTATTGTAAATAACATAATTGTTGTGTTGCTTGCTACTTTGTGAGTCACTTCGGGTCCCTTTTGGGGAGAGAGACGGCATAAAAATGAAATAAATAAATAAATGTTGGTGATACCTTTTAGTTTTTCCCCTGTGCAAATTAGACCAATTTATTTGAGATTTCAGCTGGGACAGCAAATTTTAGACTGGTACAGTGGTCCCTCGGTATCCACAGACTTGCCATTTGCAGTTTTGATCATTTGTGGATGGCAAGTCCTCCCTCCCTCCTTCTCTCCACTCCACTCTCATGTCCTGCCCCTCCCTCATGCCCTGCCCCACACCCCTCCACCACAGCCAATGGGTGTGAAATATGTCAGTTGGCTGCAGTGGAGGGGGACAGGTGTGAGGGAGGGAATTTCACAAATAGTTAAATCCCATTGTCTCCAGTGATGCCATTGGGGACCATGAGACTTGAATATTTGTGAAATTTTGGATTCATGGGGGGGAGGGGGGGAAGTTATCCCTTGTGAATCCAGAGGGACCACTGTATTTTTTAAATCAGTTGGCAGAGTCAACCAGGGAGTAATCTTTTGCTTCAAAATTCATTTTAGATCAGTTATTAGTAATAAAGCAAAAAATCACTGTTTTCTGAGGTCAGTATGTACGGCCTGTTAACGTGACACACTCGTGGTTTGTCATCTCTGTCTTTTCATTGGTGGTACAATATAATTGCTGAATAATAATATTATTATTATTTTAAAGAGTCTTTTTCCCCTTGCCATATAGAAATGAATTTATCATGGCATAGCAATGTGAAGATGATTCCTATAGTTTGCTAGTATTTTGCAATTATTCATGCAATTTTAGAAGTAGCTTAAAAATATTTTTGCTCAGCTTTTTAAAAAGGATGTGGCTGAAATGTTCCATATCTACAAGACATTATGTTGCCATTTAATACCTTTAAGTTGGCCAACAACTACATTAAGGAGCACAACATAAGTATTTTGATTATTGCACCAGCATTTTGATAACACAAATTAAAAATCTGTCATCTTTCCAAATATAAAAATCTCTGGCACAAAGCCTACCAAAAGAATTATGTCCTGCCCATCTGCCACAAAATATAATATTTTGCTTCAGAAAGTCTAGAAAATAAATGTGGATAAAGAAAATTTCTTATATTAGAGACATCATGGTACTATAACTCTTGGTGCAGCAGTGTGCAATAAAAAGTCACTCTTTTTAGAAGCAGAATATTAAGCAAGAGCATACCTAGGATTAGTTTTTCCTCTCACCTATGTTTAATTTTTAAATATTTAGGGACACAGATATTCTTTTATCACAATTGCATGTTTCTTACATACTCTTGAATGTGGAATTTAAAGGTCTTAACAATAGACTTTTTAGGACAAATTGTGGGTCTAAGTAGATAGATAAACCTTCTGCTTTAGCATTCTCTTACACATTCCAAGACTTTCCCATATTCACTCAAGATGCAAACTGCAGTTGTTAAGGGCCATCACCTTGGTTTAGTTATATCTCACCTTTTCCTCACTGCAGTGTTTAAAGCAGCTTGCATTGGAGACCAAAACAAAATACCACTAATAGTAATCATAATATTGCAGTAGTCCAGACAGCATGTTACCAAAGCAAATGTGACAATGGCAAGATCATATCTCTCTAGGAATAGGCATTTCTGGAACATTAATTTTGTCTTGTCTGCATTAAGCTTCAGTTTGTTTACTCTTCTTTCAGACCATTCCTGAAACACAAGTTTAGCAATGATATGGCTTTCTTGAAAGTAGGTAGAAAGTTGAGCCTCATTAGCATGCTGGTGGCACAGGATCCCCAAACACATGACAAAATACTTCAGATAGATAGATATAGTTTCTCCTAGTGATTTCTGCCTGTGCTAATCAGCATAGGGGACAAAACTCAGCCTGAAAGCCAACAGCTAAAGCATCCAACATAAACCCCAAATTCCCTTGTCCAGCTCCTTTATCTAGCATTTGGTCACCTGTCTTTCCCCTGACCTTGCCTAAGCCTGATTGAAATGGATCTAGATAATCCATCTCATCTAGGGACAGTCTGGAACTGGGGCACTCCAATTCCTTGCCCAAGAATGTCATATTGAAGACCAGGTGGTAATTAGCCCATATGCCTTGCCTTATGGAGGTTTTTTCATCAAAGGCTTTTTACTACATCTTCTATAAGAAGATATTTACCATTCCCCTTATTAGTTCATGCACTCAGGCTGTTCTTATGATCCAGAAAGGCATCTTGGGAGGAAGAAAGGTGGGATTTAAAATAATTAAAGAGATAAATGAATAAATAATAAGATCTAAGGATCCAACATGCATGTAGTGGCTCTCATTTCCCCAGAGAGTCTGTCCACAACCTCAAGCTGCACAAACTTGAAATAGCAAGGATCCAACACACATGTAGCGATTTCACCTTTTCAGGGATTCTGTCCACATCCTCAAACTGTACAAACTAAATTGTATCCAACCACACAGAACAAATGTGCCAAAATTGCATCCACTGGACCTGCATCAACTACAGCATCCAAGTCAGGGTGGATCCAAATGATTTGTTTGCAAGTGTTATACACATTCTTCACAGTGGGCCGGCAAATGGTTGCATTCTCTTCTTGTAGGCCAGTTTATTGTAGGCATGGACACCGCCAAGACACTTCCTCTGGATGAGTTTGTACAAATGTAATGGTGACAAAGATAAATAATTACTTTGTGACTGTTTTCACTGAGTAGATTTTCTACTGGACTCTTGCTCTTTATTCCACTTGTTTCATAATCATTGGCTCTCTTGTAAACCAGTGGAGTAGTTTGGCTCTAGTGCACATGAGGGATCATGTCCAACACTCTGGTTATTACCTTATGTAAAGGTCTACTAGGCTACCAACAGGATCTTCTGACAATGCATCACAAAACTCCTTAACAGCCATTTGGATCCATAAGCCTCTTGAGGTGGATCATCTGGAGTATTGTGTCTGTGGAGTGTTGCATCAGCTCAGTTTAAAAATGAAGCTGCACTGTATAAGATGTAACTAAGGGCCTCTACAGACAGGCGGCATTGGGCCACCCCGAGAAGCAGATTGGGGCTGAGGCTGACCCATGTCTCGGCCCCAATCCACCCTTTCAGCGCTCCTTTCCCAAGCCCCAGAAAGGACGCCAGAAGAACCGTCATGCGGCTCTTCCGCATCGCTTCCGACTCAGCTTGTGCAGAGGCTGGGCCAGGAGGATGTCATCAGAGCTCTCTGACAAAAGGTTGGGTCAGAATCCTAGCTAGAATTGTGTATATAAGGAATAATCTTCCAATGCATTGTGGTTAATTGGATGTCAAATGGTGGCGGAGCATTATGACGGATGGTGTAAATATTGCTGTATCATGCTTGTAAATATTTGCTGCAACTAAGGGGGGAAGCAGACTGGCGGCACGGGGCCGCCCTGGGAAGGTGCGCCGCAGGACTGAGGCATCCCCATGCCTCGATCCTGCTGCGCTCCTTCCCCATCCCTGAAAGGAGCGCTAAAATAGCGCTCCTTTCACAAGTCAGTGAAAGTGCGCCGCAAAAGCTTGCGGCGCACTTTCACTGACTTATCCGCCTCAGCGTGTCTGGACGCTGCAGTGGGAGGTTGCCCTCAGAGCGCTAGCCGTGTGGAGGGCCAGCGGCTCCAAGGGCAACCTCGGGAGGAGGAAGGGGCATGGAGCGTGCGGCTACCCCTCCTTTTCCTTGCCTCGAGGACAGCTCTATTAGACGTCTGCCGAGGCCCTAAGATTAAAAGCCTCTTTGGAAGCACCTTAACAGTGAGTTTTTGCCTACAATTACTTCCAGAATTTCCAGTAGTGTTTGTTACCTGTCTGTCTTCTGCATATAGACTCAGTCTTCCCCCTGCACTAACAGAAGAAGCTCACTCCCAGACCTAAATCAGACTGGGAGCAGAAAGAAAGCAATGCCCTCTCTAGAGCAGGGGTAGGCAACCTTTCCCCTTTAAGGGCCAAGGGACTTCAGCTCCCAGAATCCCAGGAGCTATTGGCCAACATGGGACTATTGGCCAACATGGCTGAGGCTTCTGGGAGCTGAAGTCCCTCGGCCCTTAAAGGGGAAAGGTTGCCTACCCCTGCTCTAGAGGGCAACAAGAGCATTATAAAGTAAAAAGTGTGTCATTTTTAATTGGTGAGGTTCAGGTTGTTCATTTGTGGAGGTATTTTGTCTGTGGTCATTTGTTTAATAAAGAATGAATTTAGGAGGTGCTGAGGACACAGTGGAGCCTTGGAGAACTTTTGTGGAGTGTGTAAGCATTTTTTAAAAATCTGTAGAGGCCAACATGGCATAGTGGTTTAAGTGTTGGACTATAATTCTGGAGACCAGGATTCAATTCCTGCCTTGGCCATGAGACCCACTGGGTGACCTTGTGCAAGTTAAATGTTCTCAGCCATAAAGGAAATCAATCGCAAACATCCTCTGAACAAGCTTGCCAAGAAAACCATGATAGGGTTGCATTTAGGTTGCCATAAGTCAGAAATGACTTGGAGGCACGTAATAAGAACAACATTTCTTAACCTACTACTGAATAATCTAGTTTTGTGTGCTTCCCTAAAATGTTTTTAATAAGAAAACTAGACCTTTTTTTGGGGGGGGGGGGGGGGAGGACAACACTGACTTTAGTCATTAGACGAAACCAAATAAAGATTTTTTTTTAAAAAAAACAGCAGAATAATGTTCAGGTTCTGTTTGTCTATTTTTGGAACTATTTTGTCTGTGGTCTGGTATATGATAAATAATTTCCTTCTATGTGAGTGGTTGCTTGAAAGCTTGTCAGCACTTTTGTAGATAAATGCTAAAAGGTTTTGATGCACACATTAACCAAACATACATGGGTGTAGGTTATCATTTACAAATGGGCAATTGGCTACAGACCTAACCGGGAGATGTGACCATCCAGTTCATTCAGTCCTTGTATGCAACTTATGATGCTTAGACAGCAGTCCTTAGGTGCAGTTTGGATACTTAAATGCAGTAACTAAGGGCCTTTACAGACTGCCAGAAATAAGGCACTGTCTTGGCTCAGTGCTAAGGAATAATAATAATAACAATAACAATAATAATAATAATAATAATAATAATAATAATAATAATAATAAATAATTTTTATTTATATCCCGCCCCTCTGCAGAGCAATCAGGGCGGCTTACAACATTACAATTTCCATTAAACAAAATACAAAATCCCGAATCCCACCCATCCTTTAAGAAGTAAGGGTTCTTCTTATTCTAGGCTGGGTGGTGCCGGCCTTAGTGTCTCTCCCCCAGATGACATTGGATGGTAATGGAGGGAGGGCTCCTCTTCTTATCCCAGGCCTGATGGTGCTCGGTCTAGTGTCTCTCCCCCAGATGACATCGGATGGTAATGGAGGGAGGGCTCTTCTTATTATTTTAGGCCCGAATCATGGGAACTGTAGTTTATTTTGGCACCAGAGCTCTCTGACAGAGAAGGCACAATGTCCCAGAAAAAAACAAAAAACAATTCCCATGATTCCCTAGCACTGAGCCAGGACAGCTAATTGGCCTCAAGCTGCATTATTTCTGGCAGTCTGTAATGACCTATAGAATACTAACAGCTAAAATTTACAATTTGATTTTTCCAAAAAGACTATTTGGGTAAACCAAAATTTGATATTGATATTTGGGTAAACCAAAATTTGATATATTTCAGATGTTGATAACCAATTTATATCTCTTTATATGACCCAAACTGGTTTCATTTTGAGGCAATTACACTAAAGTGTTACTTTTCATTATTTAACTTAATCAGCTGAAATTAATCCACTCTTTACAGCCACAAAATGTGCTTATTAGGGCAAGCTAAAATACAGAGTCTGCAGAATAATAAAGTGCATAGTAAAGTAGCATAACATTTATTATATTTCAATTTTAATTTGGGCCATTCCACACATCTCACATATTTAATATTCCATGTAATCTTAAGTAATTACATGGAGTGGAAAAGTGTGTAGGCTAGAATACCTTGATACTTTTTACCAAGGACTTGCTTCTTGGACAAAGCCACATTCCATCAGCCTCAGAGGAAGGCAAAAGGAAACCACAAATCCTGTCAAGAAAACCCTGTGATAAGTTCACCTTAGGGTTGGCATAGGACAGAAACAGTTTGAAGGCACACAACAGTAACAAGGGCTCTGACAGGTACAGTCCTCCAGACTGTATCTTCCTATATGAACCTGCTTGAATTCTAAGATCTTCATGGGAGGTTCTCCTGTCAGTCCCACCAGCTTTACAGTCACATTTGGTGAGAATGTAGGAGATTGTCTACTCCATGGCTATGCTGAGACTCTGGAACTCCCTTCCTAGGAAGGCTAGGCTGGTTTTCTCCTTACTGTTTTTCATTGTCAAGCAAAGACTTTTGTGTTTCAGCAGGCATTTGGGGATTGATTGTTTTATTCAATGAGTTTTATATAATGTACTATTTTTGATTTATGCTTTTAAATTAATGTTTTATATGGTTTTAATTGTATAGAAAGTTTAACATGACTTTAATCTTAACTTTTTATGTTTTTAACTGCATGTGGTTTTACTGGTATCTGTTTTCATTCTGTAATTTACCTTGTGTCTCATCTTGAGAAAAAGACAACATACAGATAAAATGATTAACTGATTGACATATTTATTCAGGATGTCTAACACAAAGACTCCTTAGGCAGTGGTTCTTAATATTTCTCCCTTCAGATGTTTAGAACTTTACCTCCCGGAATCCCTACTATTAACTATGGCTGAATCTACACTGCAGAAATAATCCAGTTTGACACCACTTTAACTTTAACATGGCTCAGTGCTAAGACATTCTGGGAATTGTGGCTTTGTAAGACATTTAGCCTTCTCTGACAGAGAGCTCTGGTGCCACAACAAACTACAGTTCCCTGCATTCCATAGCATTGAACCATGGCAGTTAAAGTGGTGGCAACATGTATTCTTTTTGCAGTGCAGATGCATCCTATGTTGGCTTGGGCTTTTGGGAGTTGTGCTAGTGATGAAATTTAAAGCCTTAAATGGCTTGGGACCTTGATACCTGAGAGAACACCTCTCCGCATATGTGCCTGCTGAAAGATTAAGATCTGCTGGGGGGGGGGGGAGCTCCTCTGTGTCCCACCAGTGAGCTCAATACAATGTGTTGGAACATGGGAGAGAGTCTTCGCAGCTATGACACTGCAACTGTGATGTCCCCCTGCAGTCCCGACTGACGCCAACACCCATGTCATTTAAGGCCTAAGCAGACTGCCAGAAATAGTGCACATTAAATTGAGGCACTGCCCTGGTCAGTGCTAGGGAGTCATGGGAATTGTATTTTTTTCTGGCACATTGAGCCTTCTCTGTCAGAGAGCTCTGGTGCCACAATAAATTACAGTTCCCATGATTCCCTAGCACTGAGCCAGGGCAGTGCCTCAATTTAATGTGTACTATTTCTGGCAGTCTGCTTAGGCCCTTAGGCACCGGGTTAAAACATGGCTGTTCACCAAAGCCTTCGGGCGTCCTCAGTTTAGTTTATTAAAATTTACTTATTGTTTTTACCTATTTAACCTGTTTAAATGCTATTTGTAAGCCCCTTGAGATCTCTTCATATAGGGTGGGATATCAATGTTTTAATAAATAAATAATAAATAAATAATTGCCAGCCCCAACTAGAGTATTTTAGAATTAATTAGTGAATCAGCACTTACATAAATCCCATTTATTCAGTGAGTCTAGTTGGGACCAGGGGTTTAGTTTAAGACAAAATATTGTGTTGTGCATATCTTTTCCTCTTTTACCCTCCTCATTTATTTCAGTTTCTTATGATTAATCTGAAATGTTGGAAATTATTAATCTCCAGTCAATATTGTTTGTAAGATAGTGAATAGTGAAAGCAGTATTCTATTGCAAAGATCAATGATAGGTACCTTTTTTACTTACCATTGCATATACCAAGGGTAGGCAACCTTTTTGAGCCAGGGGCCAGGTTGCTGTCCCTCAGCCAAAGCACCAAAAATAAATAAATAAATAAATAAATAAATAAATAAATAAATAAATAAAAAATATTTTTTAAAAAAAATATGCATGCACACTCTCTCAGCCCCAGAAAAGCCATGATGGCAAAACCCCTGTGGAGATTTTGCCAAGAAAACCCCAAGAACAAGTAATAACAACAATAATCAATATCATCATGGCGGGCGGCGGTGGGAGGTGGTGGCAGTGGCAGTGGCGGGACCGGCCTAGGGCTGGTCCAAAGGCCTTGGGGGGGGCCGCATCCGGCCCCTGGGCCTTAGGTTGCCTACCCCTGGTATATACAGTCAGTGTCAGTGTGGATGATAGGTGTGGTGATGCGTGATTTACCTCGTAGCAGAGTTTTCAGGATAAGGCTGGCTGTAGTCCTTCACAGCCCCAGGCTTCTCTTCCACCAAACCATGGTACAGTTTCCTGCTTCAGCCATGCAGCTGTTCAGTAACCATGAACACTCATATTTGTAGTCCAATAAGTAAGTCTTTATTGCTACAACTAACAGAATAGAAAATAGCTATGTACAGTCCATTTTGCCTGTCACAGTCTCAGATCACGCAAGAGAAGGTTTACATTTCAAAAGCCCAAGCAAGCAAACACACACACTCCAAAGGATTTTGTACCAACCCAAGTTTCCACCAACTTGGGGGTAACCTTATCCAACCATTGGCTATTTGGTGTTTCTCAGACCCTCAGTCCAGCCCCTGCTGTCTATGTCATTCCCCTTGTATCCTATTACAGTGATGTAATCGGTTTATGCCCATCTCTTCTCCTTTTCTCACAACATGTACTTGTGTTTACTTTCTGTGTGGGAATGATTTTGTCTACAAGATATCTGGTGCTAGACTGAGCCCTGTTTACTCGTCCTTTCTCACAGGAAATTTCTACTCACACACACCTGTACATATCCATACTATGACCACATATCCCATGCAAAATTCTGAGAGTCAAACCTCTGTATCCATGAATTCTGCAGCCATAGATTCAACCATCCACGACTTAAAAATATATATTTTTGATTAATAATTCTAAACATTGATTTTACCATTTTATACAAGGCACACCATTTTACTGTGCCATTGTATATACGTAATGAGACTTGAGCATCCAGAGATTTTTTTATCCACAGAGGATCCTGGACCCAAACCACAGTGGAGACCAAGGGCCTTCTGCAATGGTAATTGAGCCCATTAGTGTTGTGTGTGTTTTTTTTAAATCACCATCTGACCATCTTAATGTGAACACTGTTTGACCTGAATTTTTGCAGCTTCAACAGCAATAGCAATAGCAGCTTCATTTATATATTGCTTCATACAATGCTGTGCAGTCTCTAAGCAGTTTACA